ATTCGTCGCCTGGTGTTGATGTTATTGTTGATTATAGATGACGACAGATTCTTATCAATACACTATTTATTTTATTTATTTATTTATTGACACAACACTGACTTTGAAAAGTACAGTTGTAAGGCCACTGGAAACTACAGACAATAAAAGAACATAAACTGGCAATTATACAAACGAAAATACATTTACAAAATATTTACAATGTTACTCCTATTATTGTGTGTTTAAGGCAATGTTTGGTGAACTGTGAAGGCTTATTGTAGACATAAATTAAAATAGAGATAAGTTACTGATATTATTTATGTGTTTGGCCATATCTTCAATACAGAGACTTACTTCAGAGCTCAGAATGACTCCGCGATAATTAAATGTTTTTGGCAGGCTTGTTTCACTATTTCATTACAAAAAATAGATTATCACTGAAAGGCCTGTGATTAGAGAGAATGTTTTTCCTGTACAAAGATCCCGTTAATTGTGTATTTAGTACACTTGTAAATAGGTTACCAAGACAACTTGATATGGCAATTTCTCTGTAATTGGATGGAATAAATTTTGAACCTTATTTATGTATTGGATGTAGTAACAGTGTTAAATAATTATGACATCTGTCAGAATAAACTGACCAATTGTGAATATTTCGTTGCACATTTTATCTTAGTGCAAATATTGTTTTGTTCGTTCAAGTTCAAATTTCTGTCGTTTGTTTTTGTTGCTGTCACTGGAAACATTTGAGTTAAACAATTTATTGAAGTATGAAAACAAATCGATGGGATCAATTGGGTGATACTTACCTATGGATGACGTCACGGTTTCTCGGTTTCTCTATTTCTCTATTTGTTAATTATTATCAGTATTTTGCAAAACCACAATAGAGTCGCCTTTAAAATTCTCAAGGTTGGATATGTGATTAACTTTCATTTCTTTCTCCTTTAATTTGGTTAATTGTATTCTTGAATTGTTTCCTTTCATTAGTGTCCAAAAGTCTTGGTCAGCCCGGTTTTACTTTATGAGTCGTCGACCGCTTTTTCTAAATCATTTTCACAAAATACACTGTGCTTTCTGTCATTTTCAACTTAAATAAGAATTTGTTTTTAGAGTCATCATCCCAAATATATTTTCGTGGCAGGGGTTCCAGGTGTAATGCAGATAGCGTTAAAGAACTGTGATCGGATAACTGGGTTAAGTTGTTGAGATGAATCCAATGTCAGCGCAGTTACAACTTCCATGGGTAAAATAGGTGAGTGCTCAAACTGAATCGCCGATAGTACGTCCGTTTAAAATGGCCAAATTACATTCTAGGCATAATTGAAAGTTTTCGACCGAATTTGTTGACACAGGAAGATGAAATGATATCCATATTGTTTCTTAACGTAAAATTATCTTAGGTAAAGTAAGCTGACGGGATTGGAGGATGCTTGTTATTGACATCGTTAACAGTGTCATTTAAATTATCATCCTAGAGTTAAAATCATAAAATAATGTCTCCGATTGAAGAGAATTTGGTGATGTCATTTTCAAATAGGTGGAATAATATATAACAATTATACAGCTGTTTCATTTGATAAACTGTTAATTATTATTTTAGAGAATAACTGTAATCGCGAAATCACAACAGACTTGCCATCAGTGTAAGCGCCCTCACATTACCGGCCATATTCAAGTTCGGGCTTGTAATGATTGGCATGTCCGTCATAAGTTTTCTCTAGTGAAAAACACATTTGGGTATTTCATCGCCAATTTGCACTTTCGAATAAAACTTACTTACAATACCATTTTAACCAACTGAATAGTGGCGGCGGCACAGAGACGCATGGCACGACAAAAATATGGGGGCGGGTCGTTACCCACAAATCAAGCTGAAACCCTTGTATGTCAGCAAAATTAATGCAGGGAATAGTGTTTCAGAGGGTCTAGATTTTAAAATATGGCAGATCTCGCCCATGCAAAATTTCGTGCCGCCACCTCTGTGATTTGTAAGTAATATGGTTTCAGGCTATTACAAAACTGAACTGTAGTTATATAAACTATTTTAATAGCAAACTTTTTTTTCACGGCATAATTATAGATGTGTATTTGGATCTAAAATAAAGTCTAAATTAGGAATCGCCTTTCCTAACTTTTGTTGTATTTGAATTGCATAAATAATAATATAGTAGATTGGTTCACTTAACACATCAAGTTGTTATATTACATGTGTCATGATCAACACTTTCACAGAAAAATGGTTGTTGAAGAAATAACCTGTCTAGTTATATGTTCCGTGTTACACTCGGTAGAGTGTTCATACTGTGTTTGTTATTAATCCTAGACTATATGTGACCATACCAGAACCATTGCTGAACTGAATGCGATGGGATGTAAACGCCCTCTGTGTTGGGAATGATATTATCAAGTACCGGGTACACACGTACAATGATTTGCCTGGTTCCCGTCTCATGTGTCAACCAGCGATCTACAAATGGCGCCCTCTATCGTCAGAATTGAATTTAAACGTGATGGTCTAAATAATGGAATTTTGCGAGATGTTTGCTGAACTTTCTATTGCTTAACTGCACAGAAAATATCTAATTCGATTATAGATGCTTTCGGAACATCTATTATAAAAATTATTTTCTTCAACAATGCCTATTTTTTCAGGTTTGAATGAATAGGCTGGAAATATATCGCTAGGTCAAAGGTCACTCAGTGAAAACAAATGTTTGTACGATCAAAGACGTTAGATTGTGGTTTTAGTTCATACTGTCACCATCATTCTCAAATGAGGATATAACACCACGTCATAATGAAGTAAGTAGAAGTAACATCATCGTAACCACGCTAGTTTAGTGTCTGCAGTTCCACCTTGTATAAAATTATCACTAAAAATGTAGTTCAAAATGCCGTTCTATTTATGCTTTCTAGTTGTTTTAAGTATAAATATTACAGTCAAACCTGTATATAAAGACCACCTGCCTATAGTGATCGCTTCTAGGTAGTTACAGGAGCAACCTGTGTATAAAGACCGCCAATGTTTTTGCAGATTAGTCTTTGTTTAAAGACCAAAATAATATTTACCATTCTGTTTATAAAAAGTAAATTTTTAAAAGTAAAATTAGATTTTTATTTTTTATCAACTCAAATAAATGTTTTTTTGTTTTTTTTTGCAACAATACTATTTCATAATTTTATGTCAAATGTATGAGTTTGTGATCCATAATAACAACCTTTATATAACGACCACCTGTCTCGAAAGACTATTTTAATAAAGTCTCTTGGGTGGTCACTATATACAGGTTTGACTTTATAAAATGATGATGTTACTACAGATTTATGTAATAATTTTAGAATGAAACTATTTTTTTTAACTATATTAGTAATTTTATATTTGTGTCCTTATTAACAGTTACATTTACAGGTCATTGCTAAATCTCCAGCAGAGTGAACTCTAAGCTGATATGACATGCTATTGACACACAAAGAATTGCTGTGATACAAATAGATGTGCTAAGTCACTGACGTGCCATCTTGTCACACATATTACTGTAGCTATGGAATTTGTAATTTTGGTAAAATGGAATTCACATTTTATAGACAAAATAATAATACAAATGAAAGAAATCAGTCACATGAATTTTATTTTTGAAGCCATACAAAATCAATCTTGTTAGAGAGCACACTGTATGGCTTGAATTGACCAATGGGCACACTGTATGGCTTGAATTGACCAATGGGCACACTG